CGTGACAGACTTTGCGCAGGATGGGAACCGCGTCAGCCGCATCAGAGTGGAGCCAGTCGGACAGAGGGATTTGCTTTGGAGGGCTTACACACCCAAGGATGTGAAGGTTGGGTTCTAAAATAATTTGGAAAATGTGACAAATGTACATGGGAGGTTTAGTATTGAAGAAAATGAGATGATGACAAACCTTAACCATATAAACATTTGGGGATTGCTGTCAGCAGAGTAAACCAAACCAGCCTCTTTATACACCAAGAAAATGAACATGTAAAGGCTTGTGCTTTAATGGATTCAGGTTTGATTATTCGTTAGCACATCAGTAAGGCCAACAGCTGGATTATAGATGTAACCAGGCGTGCTTGTGTGCACTGGAGGAGGAGAGAGGGAGAACCCAGGCTAGGGAATCGGCACCTTTTCGAGAAGGAAGGTGAGGGAAAACTGAGGGTTTGGAGAACAGTTTCTGAAAAAGCAGAGGAAAAGCAGTGCCTCGGTCATGAGAAAGGAGGACTCCGCAGTGCCGTGTTCAATTTGTGACTGTGCCAGGAATCACCAGGACACCTCCGACGACACACCAGCTGCTCCGTCCCCTCATTTATCCCTGTACAAAATGTCCAAAATAAAACCAATAAGAATCAATCAGAGAGGCAAGCCATGCTTTCCCTGCCTAGAAAGCAGCGTGGCGAGCAGGGACTGGCCCGTCGTCTGTGAAGTTGTTTCAGGGCCTCGGCTGGGAGGTTTGAGAGCCATAATCCAACCGCCTGAGAGAATAAACCAGAACGCAGGTTTGACTCAGCTAAAGTTCTTGGAGCAGTGGCATATCCAAGCTGGTGTATTTTCAGTAACCAAAAACAAACCTCCAATGAAATCTATAATTTCACTGCTCTGATTTTTGTGGACTTGCTCATGAGAGAATGAGATTAAACTGGACCAGAAGAATTTTTGTCTTCAAAGGTAAAATGCCTAGCATAGGACTATATCCTTTCCTCTCCAGCACAGGCTTCTTTTAAACTTTTTAATATTCATAAATCAGAAATTGCAGCTAATTCAGTGTAGTGCACACACGTACCTGTATTTTTTCTTGAAGTTAAAAATTCTTCTATTGAAATTTGAAAATGTAGCAAGTGTGAAATGGAATTAATCAATTTTAATAATAAATTCCGTCTATATCTCAGTTAAAACTTGATCTATGGAAACATAACAGACATTACCTTCCCTGCCCCCTCGATTTCCCCATTGCTGCTTTGCAGTTAATTAGAGGTGTTAATGTAACACAGTTCCGGTTACATATCAAGGAAAAATCCATGTATTAAAATCCACATAGTCTTTAGTCCTTCGGACTTGTTCAAATATTTTTGATTTATCTGAAAATGGAATGGAAATGGTGGGCAGAGCATCCTGACACATTCAGACACCTGACAAAGTGTATTATTTTTTCAGCAAACTAGGACTGCCTACAGCTAGGACTTGCATCCTCTGCTGGTATCATGCAAGAAGAGAGCAGAGCAGAAAGGGCCGGGTGGATTTGTTTGTGCATAGGTTTTACATAGGATGGTTGTGACCGTGGAGAAAATAGGAAAAGTCTGAGACATTTCTTTATATCACACTGCAGATAGAAATGATACAAATGACCTCAGACAAAAATACTGCTCAAAGAGGTGTTCAGGTTTTTGTTCCTCAAGACCATCACTCTAACAGTTTGGGATGCCAGTGGTGGGTGCCTAAGCGGTGTCTCTGGTCAATGGCTAAGGGGCATTTTGAAACACAGGTGCTGTGCTGTCGCAGGTGAGGGATTTTGCCAGGGAGTGTGGTTCTATCTTCACCCTCTTATTCATTTATTTAATTTCATCAACATTCCTAAAAGCTAAATTCTACTTTGTCACTGAAAGACCACACACGGATATAGTGGCCATTCTTCTTCCCCACTCCATGGATCATGGCAGAACTAACTGAATTGCACCTCTGGTTTTCTCATGGGCAAATAGCGAGCAAAGACTCAACAGCCCTGGCCAAGAGATCAGCCTGGCAGGCTGGATATGGGAAAAGCATAACGCTTCATCACTGCCACCAGTATGACTGGGAGCTCTTCATATTGCAAACCACTACAGAACCCAGTCTTGCATGATAGCAGAGTATTCAGCCATGAAGAAACCACCATCTTGAGCAGATGTGGCAATGCAGGACCAGCACTGCCTGAGATTCAGGTATTGCAGCTTCGAGGGGAGTTGCCCTACTTCTGGTTTTTGCAGGCATATCTGCTCCTTGCAGGGCTCCAGGACTCTCAGACCTCGTCTGTAACCCAGCTTGCCCAAGTAACCAAGAGCTGATGCAACTGAAGATCTCTGTTTCTGTAGTAGATCCTTCCTCTTTTATTCACACACCAAAAGCAGACAGCTCCAGCAGCCTGATTTGAGCCCGTGTCACCAGTACCCGATCAATAACCTGCACATCAAATACATAAATCAGCCATTCACATGCTGTATCAGGGAATTTAAGGTCAAATTGGGGGACAGGCAGTGACTACTACTAAAATATGCTAATGCTACTTAATTATAGCATACCTTACACCACACTTCAGGCATTAAAATTAGTACAATTTAATGAGCACTCTGCTCTCTTGGTAATTTCTGTGAATGATCTACTTCTTAGCAAAAAAGTTTAATAAAAAAAAAGCTTTGCTTTTTACCAGATAAAGAAAGACAGTGCATTACATCAGGTGGAATAGGAGCACTTTGAACTCCCCTATTGCATGTGATTAAACTCCGTTGTTTGAAAGCGAAGCCTGTTTTGTACCCACTCGCAATCATGTTTTAGAAGTCAGATTTTAGTTTGTACTTGACACATGAATCCTGCCCCTAATGTTTTGCGAGGAACAGTAATGAAGAAAAACTGCTGTGTAGACTGTATTCATTACACATTTCATTTTAACTAGGTCACAGTTCGAGACCTCCCAACAGGGAACTGCTACTCTTTCACTGATCCACACATTATCACATTTGATGGATGGTGAGTATTCTATTTTGAAATAATCTGGCTCAATTACTGCAGTTTTCAGTTTCTGGATGTAGCATGCATTTGGTTTTACATTAGTATATCAAAGGAGTGTTGTACAAGTTTTCTTATAGTGATTAATGTAGTGCTTCAATAATATACATGGTTCCCTTCTAGCTGTTTATGCTCCTTTTAACAAAAGGACTAGAAATGGATTAAATTTCAAGTGGCAACGGTTTTGAGTCTGAATAACTTTTAGAAGACAAAGGTCAGACTCCAAAATGTTCTTCAAACAGAACCATCATTATTGACTTTGAGAGGGTGTCCACACCACGTGGCATCATGTTGGTACATCCCAGTTCCACCCAAGTGAGGCATTATGTCCCTGTAGCAGCATGACACGTGGGAACAGCCTGTTCCTTCCCAGCAGTTTAGTAACACCTGATGCAAGAGCTCAAGGATGCTCTTGCCTTCTTCTGTCTACTTCCAGAGCTGGTTTACTCACAGGTGCATTTCTCAATGGAGTTGACAGTCATAATCACAACCAAAAAAAACCATAAAGATGGCCATACTGTCTCAGATAAAAGAAGTCCAGAAATGATAAGTGGTAAATATCAGGGAA